AACACCTGTAATTATCTCTATATTTCTTTCTATATTATTTTTAACAATTTATAACTTGTCTCTCTCCCTTGTACTGACTTAGACGTTTTTTTTCTCTTTTTTTTTTTTATTCCAGTTGTTTCTAGGTGATTTCGACTTTACCCGAAGTCATGTGTTTTCAACCACAGATAAATAAAGTATAGTTTTTAGGCGATAATACTCATTCTTCATATTTCGGAATGTTGTGATATGCTACTTAGGGACGTTAGCAAGATTTTCTTGCAATGCTTAAAGGCGAGTACGGTACGAAGTAGAGATATCACTCTTAATTTAAGACTTTAAAATATTTTTTTTCAATTCATGAATAATGCGCACTTTTTTACAGGGTCGTATAATCGACTTAGTAAAAATTAATGCAACAAATTTTACTCGTGTAACTTTTTTGGTGTTTGATGAAGCTGATCGAATGTTTGATATGGGTTTTGGTCAGTTATCATCAGTTTAATATGCAGTTTCTCCTATTAAATTTCTATATTATGTCGGTTTAGGACAACCGTGAAGGTAGTCTGATAGTAATAGGTCCCGTGATGTGTAATTTCACACAACTGTTGCTAAGCAGCAGTTTTCAAAATATGTCAATTTGCTGCAACAAAAGGAAACTTTACGTCTTTAGAATTTTTGTAGTCGATGCAGCTCAGGTTGAACTTGCTCCAATCTATTTTTCAGAGGCACAAGTGCAGTCTATATCGGATCACATACGTCCTGATCGGCAGTGTCTGATGTTTAGTGCGACATTCAAAAGTAAGGTAGAAAAATTGGCCCGAGAAGCGCTTACTGATCCTGTTCGCATTGTGCAAGGAGAAGTTGGCGAGGTAAAGTTTGTGGCAAAATTACTAGAAGTTACGATGTGCGTTAAACAATTCATAAAGACACAAATTCTTAGATGAAAATTCATTTGTACTGCTGCATTGAGATAATTTTCCAGAAGTCTTGTGAGTAGGATGAATTATCGTAGTTCTACTTTGGCTTAATCAGAGACGCTGTTTTCGTTCTGTCATATATCTCTTGCTGTCGATTCTTTCTTAGTTTAAATAAATACTGCAATTCAATATAATAACTTTCAATACAATAGGACTGATGTAAGTATTATTTTCCAGTACCCATTTTTTCTATTTACTGCATTCTTGACTTTAAAATATTATGATTTAAAATTTTAAATTATAAAAGATGGGTTCTGCCTTGCTTGACCTACTCATTACAGTTAATTAAGGATTTGAATATTTTGCAATATAGGCAAATTCTGATGTTATACAAACGATTGAAGTGCTAGAAAATGCAGATGCGAAATGGCAGTGGTTGTTAAATCATCTTGTGAGATTTTCATCCGGTAAGCTTCTGCTAAACCGTTTCCACCCTTGTTGGTAAGATAAATGATAGGATAAAAATTCAATTAATCTTAGCGAATCTTAGATTCTAAAATTGTGGATTTCAGATGAAACCATGCATATATTCTTTTTCGCTACTTTGTTTTAATCGAATATTCAGTACTTCTATCTTGCCATTCATGCAGTGGTTCTTCGAACAGTTCTGTATATCCCTCTTCAAGTTGCAAATGAGTTCTTACTTATTTCAATCTCAGAAGACTTTAACTTTCACACCTTCGATAATATCATAATACACATTTTGTTTTGATTGGTTCGGTTACAGTGGGAAAAGTTCTCATTTTTGTGACGAAGAAGATACATGCTGAGGATGTAGCGAATGGTTTGCGTGTGAAAGATTTTAAACCTATATTATTGCATGGTGACATGTTGCAAGCAGAGCGTAATGAGAAATTGCAAGCCTTTCGGAAAGATGCAAACATTTTGGTTGCTACAGATGTGGCTGGTAAGGAAAACTTTCTTTTTTACTGAGTTATGTGACAAAAACATGTTTAATTATAGGTTTACAGAATCTTGCCAGTCTCTAAATTTCTTCAGTTATTTTGTGCTTTCTCTCTCTTGACTTTGAAATCTAAAACATTTTTAAAAGGCCTGAAATGTTTTAAAATCAATCAATGGTTCATATTCTCTTTTTTCCAGCCCGTGGTCTGGATATTCCGGAGATTAGAACAGTAATAAATTTCGACCTGGCGCGCGATATCGATACTCATGTACATCGGATTGGTAGGACGGGACGTGCAGGTGTGCTGTTATTTTTGTAGCCCGTTTTGTTTTTCCACGTTACCATATCATTTCTTTTTCAGTTTACCTTGGTTTATCAAGCTGCTTTTTCCTCAGTGATTTAGTTTGTAAATGGATAATCTGTGAGTGGATAATGGATAATCTTTAATTTACTCATTTTATAGGTCAAAAAGGTTGGGCATATACTTTGGTGCAAGAGAGCGACAGAGAAATGGCTGGACATTTAGTAAGGAATCTCGAGAGTGTCAATCAGATCGTGCCTGAATCGTTACTCCAATTGGCAATGAAATCACCATGGTTCCGTAATTCTAGGGAAAGAGGAGCAAGCCGACCACAACAAAGACTCGGATTAGGATATAAGCCAAAAACGAAAGGTTGGTAGTTGTTTTTTCTTTTTTTTCCATTAATAATTAATATTTATAAAGCTGAAATATAGTACAAAGGTTTTTTATACTGTATGGAAGAATAATAGGAAAGCAACTAAATTTCAAATTAAAAAACTAAGTATTTTGGAACTAAAGTGTGAATTTGTTCAAAAATCTCATATACGAGCTGATTTGAAAAACGTGATCTAATGCATGTGCTCGTAGGTCCGCGTACCGATACAGCTACTACTAACATAGCTAGAGCTTTAAATTTTGATGGAAGTCAGAAAGAGGTGAAGAATGTACTCGATATGGCAAAAGCTACTGATGGGTCTACAAATCGTTTGCAGGCTATGAAAGCTGCTTTCAAGGTTGATACTAACATTGCGCATTTAATATTCTCCTTTGTTTCTTTATGAGTTAGTTAGGCTCATACATGGATGGGTTTGATGGAAGTGGAAGAGAGAAGAGAAGTAATCTGGTTTTTGTTGTCACTTTCAATTTGTTTTCGAAGTGCGTTTGTTTCCGTTTGTTTCCAGAGTGTAATAATTAATGACGTTGAAGCAATGTAAACTATATGTGAAACTTAACTGATAGTAATAATGATAGCTAATAATAATTGATAACGATCGCTTCGAGTCGAATATCTTCACGAACAGTTAGATTAAATTTGCTTTTTATCGGCTGGCATCTCGATTCGATTTTAGAAGGTCTATTTAGCCATGTCGGGTGCTACCGCTCTATTGCTGGGATGTATTGTATCAGATAACCTAGTAAATATATCTAGGTTACGTGAAGTACTCAATTCGTTTTTTAAACCATTTATTTAAAGTTATAAATCTCAACGGGAAAATTCGAATAATAAATGGCATTGCAGTCTTCGTTTAGCAGTACGTTTCGACCATCATCTAGTGATGAATGGGCAACAAGTAGAGCCCCAGCAACTGATCCAACCCCAGATTGGAAACGAAAACTTGAAGAAGCTGCCGAAGCTGTTAACCGACAAGTTGCAGCTTCGATTAATAGTGATTTTAATATTCATGAAGGTATCTTACTTCGACAATAAATGAAAGAATGAGAAAAAATGATTTTCAGGGCTATAATCTGCCAAGTTTGTGAAAGAATAGATTGAGATCATTCTCAATATCCGATATTTTACGATTTCGAAGTCTTGAATTCCTGAAATATCGAATAAAAAATTCAACAAAACTAAAATTCTTGTCCTGACTTGTTAAAATTTAATATTAAGAGGGAAACTCATCGATATTCGATATTTTGGCGCGAAAAATATAATGCAATTAATATTTTTTAAAAAAAAGTATAAAACTGATAAGATATTTTGATGAAAAAATATTTTGGCAACAAAAAAATTCATATTTAAAAATTTTTAAATTATTAAAATAAAATATTATTACAAAACTCACAAAATTACACTATTATATCAATATTTTCATATTCT